CTTTGTTAATGAATGGCAACCAATGATTCAACACCTTAATGTAAAATTAAACTAAAAATTCATATAGAGGATCCTATAAGATTGTAGACAAGGAGGAAGTGGATGTCAAGTAAGAGTCTATGATATTTTTATATGTATTATTTAGATAGTAGACTGTGACCCCTTAAAGGAAATATATTATCAGATAAATGATTATGGAACATTAATAGATAGAAAGTATTGCAGTGTATGCAACAAACACTTAAATAAAATTCAAAATAAGAGAGAAAAAAGGAATAGGAATACCTTCCCAACAGCCCTGAAAACTCACAGCAACGCACTGATCCCATTTTGATGGCAACAGAGAGCAAGAATTGGGAAGAGCATCCTTCTCTATCCCCTGCATCCCCTCTCTTACCCACCCCCTTGGTATTAACTCATTGGAGAGGAAATCTGCTGGTTTTGAGGCACAGAAACCGATTCAAAAGCGGGAGGGAGGGTGTGAGAGAGTCCTTGGAGGGAAGTTCTGTCGGAGAAGAGAAAAGGGGAAAGGAAAGAAAAGCAGCAAAAGCCGACCACCAGCGGCAAATACAAAAGCGAGGGGGGTGTGATTGGCAGGCGCGGCGGGCGCTGTCCGAGGTGCTGAAGTCGACGCTGCTGACCCCGGAAATCAGCCTGATCTCTCTTTATTGCAAGACAATCCCAGCCTTAGAGAGAAAGAGAGAGAGCAGAGTTTGTGCGAGAGCTCATCTCCAGCTCTCTCCTCCTTCTCCTCCCCCTTTACCCCCTCCTTCTCCTTCTCTCTCATTCCCTCCTCCTTTCCCCCTCTCTTCTTCTTTTCCTCCTGGCCCAAACCGGGTGGGAACTGGGTGGGAACTGGGTGGGAACAGGGTGCAACTCCAAAGAAGACAGAAAGAGAGGGTGACCAATACCAAGACGATCCTGATCCTTATCACCATTGTTGTCCTATATACATAGACATATTGTCTCTACACATATAGACACACCAAACCCAGCTGTACCTTGAGCTCCTCAATGTCCAGGTTGGCCGATCTGTCCATCGGTGGGAAAGGGAGGCAATGGGAAGCCCCGAAGAAGGCGACGAAGAAGCAGGAGCAGCAAAGAGGAGCTCCCTCCCGGCGTCGAAGTTGTGCCAATTTCCCCTCCGCTCGCCAATGACACATAGAGAGCAATCCTAGGCTGGGACTAACTCAGCCTCGTCCTCCCGGGGAATGTCATGCTCCGGGGCGGGATCCCAACCTGTCGGTCCTTCCTATTTTTCCCCCTCGATTCCCAGCGACAGGTGATTCCCACCCAAAGAAGAGGAAGCCAAGCGCGGCTTTTAGAAGCAAGGCACCAGCCCCATCCGAGAGGGAAGCCACCCGGCGGCGTTGTTGTCGGTTCTCCTTCTCCCCTCGGACGGCACCAATGCAGCAAAACCGGGAGAGGCGAAGAAGGAGCGTCCCCGGTTCGAGGCGGACGCCTTCATGGCTCTGATTGGGGAGGAGAGCCGCCTCTCAACCCTCCGACGCCTGAGCCGCCGGCTTCAGCCTTGGATGGAAAAGACCCAGGAAGGGAGCAAGGGAAGGAGAACCACACAAGGATCCTTTCCTCTCTCTCGCTCCCTACAACGGAGATTCACCAAAGGAGTCGGGGTGTCTCTATCCCTTGCAGAGAGTGGAGGGAGAAGAGCTTTTCTCCCCTCTCCTCTCTCTCCCCCCTTCCAATCCTCCTCCTCCTCCGCCGCCGCCTTCCCGGTCCTGTTTTTACTGTCCTTCACCGCCAGGTGACTGACTTCACTTCTCTCTCTCTCTCTCTCTTTCTCTCTCTCACGGCCAGCACGGAGGGGATTTCTCTCATCTGTCACCAGAAAGAAGAAGAGGGGGGAGAAAAAGAGGCAACATTTCCTTTCCTGACCAACACAAGCGCACCCCCCTCTCTCCACACACAGCAGAGAGAGGGAGAGGAAGGCAGACTCCCGGGTCCTAAAGCTTCCTTTTTTCCTTCCCCCTGCTGTTCCTGAGGAGCGTTCCTGGCTCGCATTCCAATGAGGGGAACGGGGGGGGGATAGAGAGGAGATAGAGAAGACGCGAGAGGGGGAGAGCGACAGAGAGAGAGATCTGGGAGGAGATGGTTGACCATATGTAGCTAGGATCTCGCGCATTCTATTTCTTCGATCTCTATTTATACTACCGCTCTCTCCGTCTAAGCTACTTGGTCTACGCTCGCCTTCGCGATATTGCTGTGCGCGCAGTCGCTGGGAGCGTCGCTGCTGTCTTCTCATACCGATCCTGTGATCCGCTCCCTCTTTCTCTTCCTTCTTTCTCTCTCCTTTTTTCTCTCTCTCTCTCTCCTTCTCTTCTTTCTCTCCCTCTCCCTCTCTCTCTTTCTCTCCTTCCTTCCTTTCTTCCTTCCTTCCTCTTCCTTCTCTTTCTTTCCTTTCCTTCCTTTCCTTTCTTCCTCCTCCTTCTCCCCGTCTCACTTTCTCCTTCTCTTCTTCTCTCTTCTGCTCTTTCTTCTCTCTTTCTTCATCCTCTCTCTGTATCCTATAAGGGGGAGAGGAGGGAGAGAGAGGAGAGAGGGAAAGCATTTCCACACAGCCAAATAATCCAGAATATCAAACCAGCTAATCCACAATATCTGATTTGAACTGGGTTATCTGAGTCCACATTGCCATCTATCCCATTCAGTGTGGATTTTATACAGTTGTGTGAAAGGTGCCAGAGACAGAGGAAGAAAGAGAGAGAGAGTCTCTTTCTCCAGAGGAAAATGCTGAGCTTGGGCTTTTTTTTTGGGGGGGGGGGGGGTCCTGCTACCCCTCTCAGAAATAGATTTTTTAAAGTCATGCTTTTATATTATTATTATTATTATTATTATTATTATTATTATTATTATTATACTAATACAGTTCTCATTGGGAAGGCATGTACTGACTGATGGATTCAAATATTCCTGACCACTGGGGAGTAATACACAAAGGTAATTCACAGCATCCTCTTGGATTTCCTGCCCTAGCCATATCTGCCCCCCCCCGCCCCCCAGTAGCCTGAGATTGCCATGAATGCAGTCAATCAGAAATAAACTCTTCTCTTCCCCCCTTTCTCTTCCATCAGTGGTTCCCAACTTTTTTTTGACAAGGGACCATTTTGACCAGGGGCCACTCTCCAACATTAGTGCCAAAAGGATTACAAATTAGTTTTTGGTCGGCTTTAGATTTGGTTTCGTAATTTGGCGTGCTGATTCAGAAAATTGCATTGGATAGACCACATCAGCTCTGGTTTCTGATACAGAGCATATGCCATACAGTAGTCACCATCTGCTCACATACAGAAAACCATCTATATAAATAAAAATGTAATGTTTGTTTGTGGGATTAACATAACTCAAAAACCACTGGGCAAATTGACACCAAATTTGGACACAATAAACCTATTAGGCCAACGAGTGACCATCACTCATTAAAACACCAACAAACACAGCAGAAGAGTCTTTAAAAGCCAAAAAATAAAAAATACATTACAATGCATGCGCTAAACCACATATATACACATATACACAAATATATACACACACATATACACATACACACTAAACCACATATATACACATATACACATATACACACACTGTCAGAAAGTGTTCAAATATGCTTTTAGTTTTCAAAGACTATTATTTATTTTCCGGGCCCAATTCAAGGTGCAGGTTATCACCTACAAAGCCCTAAATGGTTTGGGACCCGCCTACCTTTGCGACTGTATCTCTCTCCATGAACCTACCCGGGCCCTTCAATCTCCTTTCACCCCTGCCAATCTCACAAGCTCATCTTGTGGACACAAGGGAGAGAGCCTTCTCCTCTGTGGTTCCCCGACTCTGGAACTCATTACCTGGAGAAATCAGGAAAGCCCCTACACTAGAAACATTTTTAAAAAAACCTTTAAAACCTGGCTCTTCTGCTGCGCCTTTGGCGAGTAGGTGCACAACATGACACTATTGCTCCCCTCGATGTTTCTGTCACTGGAGTATATGCTCCCCAAATGGGAAGTTTAGTTTTACAACCTTGTGTGTCTCTATGAGCTCCCTGCAAATAACTTGCTCCTATTTTTATCTCATTGGAGTATTTTAAACATTTTGACTTGTACATGTGGCCCGCCCACTGTTACTGCAATTGTGTTTATTTGTAATGTTATTTTGTTACTGTATTCATATGTTGTTGTTTTTTGTAATTTTGATTATTTTGCTTGTTATTTATGTTTTGGTTTTATTTTGCTGAAATACGTTGTCTGGGCTTGGCCCCATGTAAGCCGCTCCGAGTCCCCATTGGCGAGATGGTGGTAGGGTATAAATAAAGTTTATTATTATTAACCTTGAGGCTTATTCTGTACAAAATTTGCAAGTGATCTCCTTGCACAGAAAACAGCCTTCATGCATAGGAAACAGCATGTTTTCAGCAGAAGATAACATTTATGCAAATAGATATCATCCTCTGTGTAAAAAAATCCATATTCCTGCCCCAAATCCTTTCAATTCTACATAGAATGTAGACCACTTCTGTACAGGAAACAGCATTATCTGTACAGACTTTTTTTGCACTGAAAATGAAAATTGTGTGCAAATGTTTCCAGAAGAGGTGCTGAAGAGCAAAAATTCTACTGTGGTTACGATTTGCCTCATCAAAGTTTGCTGACACTCAAGAAACATTATTTTTATCACAATTTTTGAATATTTTTGAATATCCTTTCAATTTCTTAAAATGCTTTCTCTTCAGATCATATAAATCTTTAACATTTTATCAAAAGGGAAACTCATAAGAACTTGTGCTTTTCATCACAAATCCTGAAATCCTGTTAATGAACATTCACATCTCTTGCAGGTCCTCTGATAGTGAAAGCCAAAGAGTAGCAGTATTATGGGCTCCTGGTATTTGTAGTTTGGTGAGGGCACCAGCACATTTTGGCATGGAAAACTAAAGACTTAGTAAAACTACCATGATCCCATAACATTGACTTATGATAGTTAATTCTACAGCCCATTGACAATAATTGGGTGCTAAAGCTTGAGCATCCATGACTAGTTAAAGAATGGTGTGAAATAATGAACATGTGCAAATACTCCAGCTGTTTGCACCAATTGCATAATCCATCTTGTCTCAGTTTAGAGTTTTCTCAGCTAAGAACTGACCACAGAAGTGTGATCTTTTGAAGTGCATACTATGTACACCTCTGACTTAAGGATAAAATCAGTTTAAAACAGATTAATAATATTTATTTATCACAGCCAAAATCAAGAATAATATATTCTTCTAGCAACTGAAGCAGGCAGCCTTCCTGGCCAAAGAATTAGTGGTGTCCCCATTGATTCTGATGTAAGGAACCTTACATCAACAACTTGGATAGTTGCAGATCTGCTTTGTGGAGTAGCAGCTGAAGCATACTTAATACAGCCTGAATTTGTACATAATATCCTCAGAGGAATCTGTGGCCTCCTGTTTTCTAGCTACCCACCCCATTTTTACCTCAGGCGTCTCACCATCTGTACTTCAGGAAGCTCCCCAATCCACACTACTACACTGTCCATTTTCCTCTGTATAAATTTGCTTTTGCCAGTGCTACAAGTGGTATAGTGATATATTTTTGCCTATGCTCATCATGACATTCTCCACAGCAACACCCCAAAGATAGTCCAAAAATACAGGCAGGTCCATTATCCCACCTATTTAAGTCTTTTCACATAACAAAGATACAGCATTATGATTCCATTTTAACTGCATCCTTTGGAATCCTGAAATTTATAGTTTATCAAGAAATCCCTCCTCCTCCCCACCTCCTTGCACAACATTTTCATGCATCAGGAGTATTGTGCAGATGGTATAGTTCCTTTGGGGAGAGGGGCGGGATTCAAAAAAAGATTATTATTGTTATTACTATTACTATTATTATTATGGTACATTTTTGGGAGGAAATGGGGGGTGGTCGCCCTCTTGCTCCTTTGGGTTCCAGGAGGCCGAAGAACCGGGTTGGCTGTGGGGATTGACCCCTGGGACTGCAGAAGCCTAACACCTGGAAAGATTCAGACCTTAGCTTAAGGTCCAGATCTTTCCAGGTGTCAAATTAATGTGAAATAAATTGGGAAAACCCATTTTTCCACATTAATTCCCTTTTACCTGAGGATATCTCAGGTAAAAGCGAGACAGGTCCCACATTTTGAGCCTGTCTGGAAGGATCCTTAGAATGCAGATTAATTGCTTTGAACTTGATTGTATGAGTCTACAGTGCCATATAATCCAGTTCAATGTAGTCAATGTGAATTCAGAAACTGGATTATATGGCAGTGTAGATCCAGCGTGAATAGCAATGAGCTAACAGTTCAATGTAGTCAATGTGAATTCAGAAACTGGATTATATGGCAGTGTAGATCCAGCCTGAATAGCAATGAGCTAACATTTTCATGAAGACATTTCTTGTTCCTGAGAAAATGCCTTTCCCCTATTTTCCTTATAGTCCTCTCAATTGTAAGGGTTGTAGGCTACTTTTATATCACTCCAAGGTCAAGAAGAATGCTAGATCTGGGACACAGTGAAAGATGCAAACTGGTAAGTGAGTCTACGTTCTCGGTTTCTGCTCCTGTCACTAGCATCAGTAGCAGCTTCAACACTATCATGCTGGGGGGGGGGGGGGGGGGATAAAAGGGAGATTCTGTGCTAATGTTAATCCTGCCAGGGATTTTCCCTGGTGTCATAATTCACTCTGAGGAGAAAGAGAGAATCCAAGTGGATAATGAGTAGTCAAGAGGTCAAGAAGATGAGGAATCAACCTCTAGGAAGAAAGGCAGAATAGAGGGATGCACCAAAGAGTAGTTTTTTTGAGAAAACAGGGAAGAGTCTCCCAACAGACTTGGGTGTCTTTGAAACGGAGCAAATAAAAGACCTTGCTCCCAGCATCTTCAAGTTGCTCACTGTCTGTCTTATAGAAAAAGGCTAAAGCTGAATCTACA